CAAAAGCCGGCTCCCACGGCCGGTCCCCCACTCGCTAACTTGTTGAGCCTCTCTCTCTCCTCCTCGCCAGGACATATATATATATATACAAACACACATATATATATATCCTCTTTCTCCCTGGAATAAAGGAAAAAGAAAGAAAGAAAAACCAAACTTACCAAACATCATCATCGACATGACGACGAGGATCCTACTACTCCTTTTCCTCCTTCTCTCCTCGTGCACCGGGCCGAGCAGGGGCAACGCAGTGTCCTCGCAGAGGGGCAACGTGCACAACGATCCCCTGGTCGTGGAGACGACTAGCGGCCTCGTGCGCGGCTTCCCCCGCACCGTGTTGGACAAGGAGGTGCACGTGTTCTACGGGATACCGTTCGCCAAACCGCCGATCGGCCCCCGCCGTTTCAGGAAACCGTTGCCGATCGAGGCGTGGCACGGCGTGTTGAACGCGACCGTGTTGCCGAACAGTTGCTACCAGGAGAGATACGAGTACTTCCCCGGCTTCCCCGGCGAGGAGATGTGGAACCCTAACACCAACATATCCGAGGACTGTTTGTACCTGAACATATGGGTGCNCCCTCAGATGGCTCAGGGACAACGCGGAGGCGTTCGGCGGGGACCCGGAGTTGATCACGATCTTCGGCGAGTCGGCGGGCGGCAGCTCCGTGTCCCTGCACCTGATCTCCCCCGTGACAAGGGGCCTGGTGCGCCGGGGTATACTGCAGAGCGGCACCCTGAACGCGCCCTGGAGTTACATGAGCGGGGAGAAGGCGAACGAGGTGGCGAGGATACTGGTGGACGATTGCGGATGCAACTCGACGATGCTGAACGAGAATCCAGCGAGGGTGATGGCGTGTATGAGATCCGTGGACGCGAAGACCATATCCGTTCAACAGTGGAACAGTTATTGGGGAATTCTTGGCTTCCCCTCGGCACCGACCATCGACGGGATCTTCCTTCCCAAGCATCCTCTCGATCTGTTGAGGGAGGCCGATTTCAAGGACACCGAGATACTGATCGGTAACAACGAGAACGAGGGTGAGTTTTCCTCTTTCCTTTCGCCAGCTTCTCCTCATCTTCGCGTCCCGTGGATGGAACACGCTCTTTTTTAGATGGATAGTCGATAGTTGTACGTATATTTTTTTTTTCGCAAAGTCAGAAGCAATGAGAAGAAAGAAGAGGGATGTTTCGTTACTTTCAGATGAATAGTTTTATATATATTTTTTTTTTGCGTTAGAAGGAATATCCAGAAGGACTGGATGAGAAGAAAGAAGAGGGGTGTTTCGTTACTTTTAGATGGATAGCTGATAGTTTTATATGTATATATATTTTTTCGCATCAGAAGGAATGTCCAGAAAGAAAAAGGAGAAGGTGTTTCGTTATTTTTAGGTGGATAGTTATATATATTTTTTTTTCCCGTCAGAAGGGCGGGATAAGAAGAAGGAAAGGGGTGTTTCGAAACATTCGTTACTTTTAGACGAATAATTTTATATGTATATATATATATTTTTCGCATTTTTCGTCCAGAAGGATTGGACGAGGAGAAAGAAGAGGGGTGTTTCGTTACTTTTAGATGGATAACTGATAGTTTTATATATTTTTTTCGCGTCAGAAGGACGGAATAAGAAGAAAGAAAGGGGTGATTCGAAACATTCGTTATTTTTAGATGGATAACTGATAGTTTTATATATATATATTTTTTTTCGCATCAGAAGAGCAGGATAAGAAGAAGGAAAGGGGTGTTTCGAAACGTTCGTTACTTTTAGACGAATAATTTTATATTTTTTTCGCATCAGAAGAAACGTTCAGAAAGACTGGATGAGAAGAAAGAAGAGAAGTGTTTCTTTACTTTTAAATGGATAGTTGATAGTTTTATATATATATATTTTTTTTCGCATCAGAAGGGCAGGATAAGAAGGAAAGGAATTTTTCGAAACGTTCGTTACTTTTAGAAGAATAATTTTATATTTTTTTCGCATCAGAAGAAACGTTCAGAAGGATTGGACGAGATGAAAGAAGAGAAGTGTTTCTTTACTTTTAGATGGATAGTTGATAGTTTTATATATATATTTTTTTTCGCATCAGAAGGGTAGGATAAGAAGAAGGAAAGGGGTGTTTCGTTACTTTTAGACGAATAATTTTATATGCATATATATTTAATATAATTAATATATATATAATTATATATTTAATATATGTATACATATATTTTTCGCATTAGAAGGAACGTCTAGAAGGACTGGACGAGAAGAAAGAAGGGGAGTGTTACTTTTAGATAGCTGATAGTTTTATATGTATATATACTTTTTTCGCATCAGAAGAAATGTCCAGAAATACAAGAAAAAGGAGAAGGTGTTTCGAAACGTTCATTATTTTTAGGTGGATAGTTATATATATATTTTTTTCCCGTCAGAAGGGCGGGATAAGAAGAAGGAAAGGAGTGTTTCGAAACGTTCGTTAGTTTTAGACGAATAATTTTATATATATACATATTTTCGTAATATGGGATGGGATAAGAAGAGGAGTGTTTCGAAACGTTCGTTACTTTTAGATGGATAGCCGATATTTATATATATATATATTTTTCGCATTAGAAGGAACGTCCAGAAGGACTGGACGAGAAGACAAGAGAGGGATGTTTGGTTAGGTAAAAGCAGGGAGGGGGGAGGAGAACAATGGTTCCGGTGTATTGTATATCGGTGGTTGGATAATAAAACCCAGTATATATATCGGCGGGGTGATCCTCCCTTTCTTGTTAATGAAAAGCCGCGGACGCGGCTAACAGAAGCCCGCCCTTTCGAAGAGAATTATTAAAGCCCACGGCTTTCTTAAAACCGCGCGTCGTCGTCCCACTCTGGCTAATTAACCTTTGCTAAATGCCTCGGGGACCTGGATATAATAAACGTCTCGCTCTCGTTGCGCGCACGACGGAGATAAAAAAAAAAAATCAGATTCTCGAATTTATATCTCTCCGTCGAATTTTATCGAAAAGGTTTGAAAGAGGAGAAAATTTCGCGCGAAGGGGAAGAAGTTTCGAATAATGGAAGAAGAGATGTATTCTATCGCGTGGAAATATCTTGTTTTTAAACGACAGATCGTTTATGGTGTTATGTATTTTTAATGAGGTGTTACGTATTTTTTAAAGCTTGAATCTAAGAATTAACAGCCGATCGAACGAGAAGAAAATAAAAATTTTACTTTCGAGCATATTCTGAACGATATAATTTCGACGAAGATTTGCGTGAAATATTGAAATAATGAAGATGGTGTCGGTCAGCCAGAAAGAAATACGATTTTCCACGAGTCAAATGTCTATTAATAACAGTTTCTCGCTCGAGTGGAGTCGAGATATAATTAAGTATACATATATATCTCTTCTGTATCTCTCGATTTAAACCGTCTCGATATCTCTTTTTCTCTCGCTTGGAATATTCGATGATTATTCTCTCGATCATAAATCACCCTTGTTCGAGCTTCCCCTCGAATATTCGATCTTCAAATCGCATTGATGGAACAATGGGTGAACTTGTTGGGTTTTCTCAATTGAAGGAAGGAAAAAAAAGAAAGAAAAAATTATGCAATCACGCGAGATTAAATGATTAATCGAGTTCGTTGGGTGCAACGTTCAGTTGGAGAAAAATCTGACGAGTCTCCATTTGTTCTCGCTTGAACGAATCATCGGATCTTTTAGAACTGAATTCCGCTTCTTCAAAAATCTTTCGCACGTCTGACGTATATAAATGAGGATAATAAATAACTATCATTTGTTTAAAATTATTTTTATGCCACTCTTTCGATTTTAAGTTCGATTATTCGTCAATTCTTTGACACGTGACGTAATAAATATAAAATAACAAAATTTCGTAATTTTGAAATGTAAAAGCAAAAGAAGAAGCGATAGGATAATTAAGAGGTTAATTCGCCGTAAGTTTCTTTCTTTTTTTTTTTTTTTAAAATCTTTTCTTTGTTTCGTAAATTGGATAAGTCTCTGTCGGAAGGTTTCGCTTCGAAACGATTTTAAATGTCAGTCGGTCGATAGCTGGCTCTCCGGGAAACCCATATTACCGAACCTCTCGTTACCCCCGATAGCCTGAACTATTCGAAAAAGAGGAGGGATCCTTCTAGTGGTAATTGGAAACGTGTAGGTACCGGCCACGATTAGCCAGATCGCATAAAGTATCGGAGTTTTAGGAAGATTGTGGCCACTTTCTTTTGTAGAATCACTGGTAACCTACTTTCCCCTTTTCGAATCCACTTTTGCCAAGATTTAATTTTACACCCAAAGAGAACGGTAGTAGATCATCCGCGAAACGTTCTTTTAGATATAAAATGTGGAATAGAGGAGAGATTTTTTCTTTTTTTTTCTTTTTTTATTACTGAAACGCGTTCAAATACTCGTTATGAAAATATATTGTACTTTTAAAATATTTATCATAATTTTCCTAATGTAACGTATGTTCAATCAATAATCCTTTCAAGGATTATGAACAAGCATCATATCTGAAAAAATTAATTTACACGCATTCAATGCCAATTTCCATTCAAATTATTATATACATCGATAATTTCATCCAGTCTTTTTTTTATCCTAAATTGGCATCTTTATATCTGAAAAAAAAATTATTTACAATTTGGAAAATATAACATTCGAAATTTTTAAATTTATTTTCTCAATTATTACGCCATTGAGTGTTTCTTTTTGTATTTACGCTAGTATCGGATTGCGTGTTAAATTATAATGTAAAAGAATGTAAAAGAGTTTGCGATTTTGCACGGGAAAATGAGCATCTGAGAAAGATACAGTCTCTTCGCGACAGATAATCGGAGAGATAGAGATGAA